TCACTGCTAAAAACCCTGACACAGATGGTAAAACATACAAATATCATAATCTGTCAAAGTCAGTTTTATATTAGATTTTCACTTTAGGAATATGTTTTTTAAAGTTCAATAGTTTTGAAAGAGATTATAGACTAAAATCTAAATGTCGTAATATGACGCCTACCTTGAATGGAAAGGCTGTCTTTACAAGGTGGCATTTTAATATTATACAAAAAAGACTAAGTCACTTTCTGGAAGTAGGAAACTCTTCCCATCTATAAAAAGATGGGGGGAAAATGTATATACATAAAATTATATATATTATAATATACATCAAAATTACATATATAAATATTATATAATTGTATATAAAAAAAGACTAAGTCACTTTCTGGAAGTAGGAAACTCTTCCCATCTATAAAAAGATGGGGGGGAAATGTATATACATAAAATTATATATATTATAATATACATCAAAATTACATATATAAATATTATATAATTGTATATGAATATTATTATAACTATATTTAAATTATGTATAAATATTATATTTTACAATTATATAAAATCATAATATATAATATTTACATATAATTATATATGTTTACATATATTGTATATAATTGTTATATGTGTGTGTGTGTATATATATATATATATTTTTTTTTTGGCAGCTGACTGGTATGGGGATCGAACCCTGGATCTTGGATCAGCACCAGACTCTAAGAAACTGAGCTAACCAGCCAGCCCCTATTTTTTAAAAGTTAAGGGGGCCGAACCCGTGGCTCACTCGGGAGGTGCGGCACTGGGAGCGCCGAGGCAGCAAGGTTCGGATCCTATATAGGGATGGCCAGTGCGCTCACTGGCTGAGCGCGGTGCGGGAGACACCAAGATTGTTCCTGGCTACTGGCCAACTGGGCATCAACAGTAGAGTGAGGGTCCAAGGGCAATAGTACTAGTCAGGGTCATGGACTATGGTGCAAATTCCCTGTCCCTTTCACTCCAGACCTGTGTCTGTGAGAAGCACAGCCCTGGGCTAGGTCTGGGCAGCTAGGTGCCAGGAGACCCCATCAAGTCTGGGGCAAAGGGCTTTGGGACCTGGCAGGCAACCCCTTGTGCCTGGAGCCAAGCATCCTGCTTGTGAGCGAGCTAGTCATACCACCCATTGGCCAGCCAGCACTTAGGCTTGCAGAGCCCATCTTCATGCTAAAAGTCCTCAAGGGTGCTTAGTGGTCTGCCTCAGATGAGCCTCAGGCTTGGTTAATTCAGCTGAGGGGTACATGAGTGCATGAGTGCATGAGCTGGGCCTCCACAGGCTGCCAGCCTCAGCAGGTCCAGGGGGACGGGCCTCCCTAGGCAGAGAAGCCTGTGTACCACATGGCAAAGCCATCATTTCTGATGGTCCTTGCATAGACTAGACTCTGGCTTGGCCCATGTAGGCTGCACACTGTAGGTGGCACTGGCCTGGTCCCTGGAAAGCTCAAAGGTGTATTTCAGAGAGTGAAGGGGACCCTGCTAGACTGCAGTCTGTAGCCCACTACTCCTACTTTACAGACCAGCCAATTCCTGCTGGAGGCCCCTGGTGATATGGGGAGACCATGTCCAAATCCCTGAATGCCTGCTGAATGCTGAGGCAGCAGGTCTGCACCCTATTCATCATCGGCTTCAAGTTCACATTTTCCCTCTTCCTCACGATCTACTAGCACATTGTTGGAGAGCCCAAGGACCAGAGGCAACTTTATAACCTGCCTGCAGACACCCCCTGGCCTCCCTTTGTTGCCTCCACCCTGCCCTCCAGCAACCCCTGACCCGGAAACGTCTTCTTCTTGGAGACTTCAGACTGAACCAACTCCAACTTCCTGTTCATGTGCTAGGTGGAGTCGGCTGCCAGGACTGTCCCTGGTGGTGGTCCTGATGAAGGGCTTGCCCGGCGGCAACGCCTCCCAGCCCTGGCACCTTGGCATCGCTTCTGGGCTGCTTTGCCAACGTCCAGATGCTCCACTGGACCTGGAGGGGTGGTTCCGGGACACGCCCCTGGCAGCCTGGTATGTGGCTGTGTGGCGGCAGTGGGAACCCTACCTGCTGCCCATGCTTTCTGACACCTCCAGGATCGCATTCATGTGGAAGTTCAAGGGTATCTACCCGGACGTGGACTTCATCGTCCTCAAGAACCTGAGGTACCCGATCAACATGCTGGGCGCCCCATCCCACTTATGTCTGCATTGGCGCCTTCCTAGCCTTCAAGCACAGGCATGAGTTCATGGCACTGTGCACACACGACTTTGTGGTCAACTACAAAGGCTGGATTTGGGGCCACTAGGGCGCGCAGCTGCTCATGCGGGGCTTCAGGAAGTGATGCTCCATCCGCAGCCTGGGAGAGAGCTGCTCCTGCCACAACGTCACAACACTGCCCCAAGAGGCCTTCTACCCCATCCGCTGTCAGAACTGGAAGTACTTCAAGGACTTCAGCCCTGAGGAGCTGCCCTGGCTGCTCAACGCCACCTGCACCGTCCACGTGTGGAACAAGAGTCAGGACATGCCCTTCAAGGCCACGTCCAGGGCGCTTTTGGCCCAGCTCCACGCCCACCACTGCCCCACGAGGCAAGAGGCCATGAAGATGTACTTGTGACAGGCCAGTCAGGCTGCTCCCTCACCGTGTCCTGGTGGAAAAGGATGCTCGGCCGCCCTTCCCTGGGTGGGCCTGGGAGAGGGAGATGGGAGCTGCTGCAGCTTGGTTTAGGGCAGGCTGCTGAGGAGGCATTGTGGGAGCACGTGCCGCAGGCCCTAGGATCGCCTCCCTCCATGACAGGGTGAGGCCAGTGCCCCATCTGTGGGTGGGTGGAGGGGCTGACAAGTGGGGCCAGAGTCGGCTGGAGCGAGTCTGGGTCTTCCGCACAGGGGGCGGCGAAGAGCTCAAGCACCTTCAGGGCTGGTGGGGAAGCCAGGCGGGCTGGGGCTGAGATGCCGGGAGGGGAGCTCAGAGGAGGAAGGAGGGAAGAGTTCCCAGACAGGAGAGGAGGTAGCTAGTGGGAGAGCGGGGTGCACACCCAGCCCTGTGAGCCCAGGGAGGGGGTGGTGGCTTTTTTCTGGTTCTGGCCATTTTTTCGGAGGGACTGAGCAGGCCCTGCCTGCCTGCCCATCCTTTCCTGTCTCCAGAAACGTTGCGAGGGGGGCATGGACTGGCTGCCCACTTCCACGGGCACAGGGTCGGGGAGGTTCTTTTGGCCCAGGAGAGGAATTTTAAAGAAAACGTCCCCCACTCACAATAAACAGGAGAAAAATAAATACAATAAAAGTGAAAAAAAATTTTTTAAAGTTAGAAAGTATAATTTTTTTTTACGTTAGGAAAATGTCAGTAATCAATATTCCCTTTTCCCTATTTTTCAAAAATAGGTTAGAGATTGATAAGTGGGTCACAATTTCTCACACATGCCATGAATAGAAAAGGCATTCAAAAAGAATCAAGTAACTATGGAACTGATCTCAGTATATCTTGGGCAGTAGTAGATGCTGCTACTTATTTTCATTAGGACTTATGAAAATTTCTTATGATAATGCACTACCTCCTCTTGAGGATGATGCAAGATAGTATTTTAATGTCAAGTATTCCATGGGGTTTGGTTTTTCCAAATTACATTCTAAGCTGGTACTACATCACCTAGATAATTTTATTTTGCTTTGGCAACAAACTAAAAGAAATATCCTGTGAGCTGGCTGGCAAGTACAGGGTTGGATCCCTGTACCAACCAGCCGCCCAACCCACTTCTCCAAAAAATAATAATAAAATAAATATCCAAACTAAAGTTAGTACATAAATGAACTTTTCTAAAATTATTCACCAATATTTTCCCTTAATATTTTGTACTTACCAGTTTACCTCTGAAGAAGTTTAACTATTTTAGTTATCTTGCTTAAATATACTGTGACAGGTGTCAATATATTACAACAGTTAGACCTAATTTTCTTCCTCTCAGATAGCTTTTCTGCCTCACTTGAAGAAACATATGGTCATGTTGAAGTTAAAAATCAAACCCTTATCTTAACAATTTATTTAATTAAATGTTGTAAAAATTAATCAAGAACAATCGGTTTTGAATTTAATTCTTAATGACTAATTACAGCTTAGAATCTTCCTTATCCTAATATCCCTGTTATTTTGGAAACTGTAGATTTCCCTAGATTTATATTAAATTTTTAAAAGCCTAAACTTTTCTTCTATGCCACAAGATATTTTATTTGTATTTTATTATTTATTATTATTATTTTTTAAAGATGACCAGTAAGGGTATCTAAACCCTTGACTTGGTGTTGTCAGCACCACGCTCAGCCAGTGAGCGAACCGGCCATCCCTATATGGGATCCGAACCCGGGGCCTTGGTGTTATCAGCACCACACTCTCCCGAGTGAGCCACGGGCCGGCCCAAGTTCAGAAGTTTTTGAAGAGGCTCAGAACAGATTGAAATATAGCACTCATTCCAAAATATTTCTTAAACATTTTTTAGTTTTCTTTTTTTCCCCTCATTCCAAAAATTTTTAACGCTATAAGTAGGCCTTTTTCTTTTTTGGCAGCCAATTAATTGGTAAGGGGATCCAAATCCTTGACCTTGTATAAGCAGAACTCTGACACCTCATTTAATTTACATCCATTTAGTTGCTATTCCAGGTGGTTTGTATTAGCTATTGCAAATTCTTCATGCAAACCAGTTGATTACAAAGCAAAATTATTCAAATGGATCTTAATTCTATTATACAATAAAATTGACCTTTTTTATTTTTAACTTTTTTGGCAGCTGGCTGGCTAAGGGAATCTGAACCCTTGACCTTGGTGTTATAACACCACACACTGCACTCTAACCAACTGAGCTAACTGGCCAGGCCTAAAATTTGCTTTAAAGATCTACTTTAACAAAATTTATGATGAAGATTCTAGATTTATATAAGAGAACCTATTTGATCACATTACCTATCAAATTACACAAATGTTCAAAGCTGACAAAAAAATAACATTCACCAATACATCATATGCATGGTGTTTTATTCTTTGAAGAATGGTTCTAAAATATCACACTAAGTCAGGCTGAAAGGTAAAGTTTAAAATAAACAGTTTTATAAGGATAGATTATATCATATGTAATGACTGTTCACTCTACCAAATCTCGAGATCTGAGAGCTTATGATACACCGAGTTGGCAGTAGCACCCAGGTTTTCCAAACAGCCAGTCATCATTTTTCTCTTGTCTGCATAGACTTCTTCTCATTAGCTGCCTTCTGCTTTTGTTGCATGATCTCAGAGTCCCTATAATGGATGAAAAGGCTATAAGTTGTTACAGAAAAACTGATTTTATGTTCTCAGTTGCTTTCTACACATAACTCATTAAGTACATTAGAAGACAATTTAAAAGAAAGTATAAACATTCATGTCTTTCTGTTTTCACGGATGGAGACAAAATGGAAAGGCAAAGACTGCAAAGGCTTTGAAGTCAGATTATTTTAAATACCATCTCTACTATTATCATGACCTTGGGCAAATAGTCTCAAAGCCCTTTCAAAATCAGAGCAATATACATCAAAATTGTTCTGAGACTAGCTATTAATGTATATAAGAGAATCTCACATTAGGCAGCCACATGCAGAAATAATGGCAATTACTCTTGGTTGTTAACAAAGTTAATTCACTCTAATTTTTTTTTCCTGAAAGAAGAGTAATTTAAAAAGTCTCCTAGATTTCCTAACTGGTACCTAGGATTAGGACATGATGTTATGAAGCAATTCAGTTTCTTATAAGACAAAAAGCTCAATAGCTAGTGATGAGAACTGGATTACACTAAAGAAAATCAGGATATTCAGGACACTTTCGTTGCCCTTTGAGTCGCTTAACTGAAACTCCACATACCACATTAACTCTGAACTATAACCAGACTACCTGGGCTAAGTGATCCATGAGTCCATGGCTCCCATATTTTAAAAATATATTAAATGGCTATGTAATCAGCACCTACTTTGTGCCAAGCATTACTGGCTATGGCTTAAGTCCCACAACTGAGTTATCAACCCCATGTTTCAGATATAAAAAAAAAAAAGGCTCAGCACTAAACTTTGCCCTAATCACATAATTACCAAGGTCTGTCCAATTTCAAAGTCTTGGCTATTTATCAGGATGATTTAGAATTAGATTTTAATTCAGGATTGAATAGATCTATCCATGACACTAAGACATTTCTGCAAAGCCAGTAGCAAAAACAAGGAATAGAAGGAAGGAAAAATAAGACAGCTACAAAGAAATGAGATACAGTGGAAAAGAATAGTGATCATTATTTTTCTGTTTGAAACCAAACTCTGCTGTGCTTGTTGTATGACCTTAGTAATGTTACTGAAGTTCAGAGCCTCAGTTTCCTATTCTACACATTGGTGTTAATACCACTTTTCAGGGCTGTGATGAATAGAGATAACAGATACATAGCATCTAGAACAGAGCTTTTATAAGGAGTAGATATTCAGTAAACAATGGCTATTTCTGAACCAAGCTAGACACAGTTCTCCAATAAAAATTATTTCAGAGTCACTGATCCATACCATATTCACTTTTACTGGACTAGCCGGTTAGCTCAGCTGGTTAGAGCACTGTCAAAAAATAAATAAAAGGTGTTCCCTGTGTTCACCCAGTAAATTCACTTTTACTCCAATGTGAGTAAACAGAAACTATTTATTTATTTATTTTGGCAGCTGGCTGGTACAGGGATCTGAACCCTTTACTTTAGTGTTAATGAGCACCATGCTCTAAACAAGTGAGCTAACTGGCCAGCCCAGTAAACAGAAATTTAAGGTGAAGCTAAACGCTTTTATAATAAATATTATCAAAAGAAAACGTGAAGTGATAGTTAAGGGATTCAACCTCATTAACCAATAATTCTTAACTGTGGCTGTACATTGGAATCACCTGGGGAGCTGTTTTTAGTCAGGTTTTAAGATATAACCAAGGTATAATAAAAATTACCCAGCATGCTTTTTAATGCCCAACTCCAGACCAATTAAATAAGAACTGGGTGTAGGGCACAGGCTTGAGTAGCCATCAAGGTTTCCCAGGTGATTATGATGTGCAGCCAGGATTGAGAACCACTGATAAGCCAACAGGAAGCACATGCAGTTATTCACCTAACCTCCAGTTCCATATGGAAAATTTGACTTTAGAATAAGATTAAACTTTGGCTAGCTTTTTTAGAAACATAAACACACTTTTTTCTTAACTTAAGCTGCAGTCTCATTAAAGCATTGTACTATTTGTCACACGTAAGTTTCTTATCAAGACTATGTACATGCATTCTCTACAACCTAGTGGATCTTCAGAAGTCAATACAGCTACAAATACCTTTTTTGTTTCTCTTTCAGAACAGTTATCACTATAATTGAGCCACTTGTCTCCAGACTAGTTTGGGTAGGCTGTCTGCTTTGAAATTGTTGTGTCCCTAGCACCTAACAGTGCCTTATTTTGCTGAATAAAGTTCTTATTGTTGTGGAGGAGCTGCATGAGATTTTCTGCAAAACAAGCTCCAGTGCTTTAAACTCTTCATCCACAGGTAAGGGTAATGACTACCCCATATGGTTTTACTGTGCCTGGCACAAAACAGATACTCATCACTGTCAACCCCTTCCACAGGTTAGGCCCACTCTACCAATGTTTTTTTGTTTTTTTTTTGTCTTTTTTCGTGACCGGAAACGGATCGCAACCCTCAGTGTCGCGCCCGTACTGGACCGGGACCGGCAACGGGATCGCAACCCTCGGTGCTGCTCCCGCACCTCGCTCAGCCAGTGAGCGGCCGGTCTGTATGTGGGATCCGAACCCTCAGTGGGAGCGCCGCCACGCTTTCCAAGTGGCGCACTGTAGCAGTGCGCCACCAGGCTGGCCCTCTACCAATGTTTTAAAAATGCTTTTCATTCTCCAAAGTGTAGCTTCAATCAAAACTTCAGTGATTTGAGAATTCTATTTGTACCACTTACCTCTGCTTTCTCTGAGAGGTAGTCAAGCTATCCTCTTTTCTTTTTCCTTTACTAATTTCCTGGGTTTTCTTCATGTTTTTCTGGCGGGCAAGTTCTCGTTGATTTCCACCTACAAAGACAAACTGTCATGTTCTTTTCCCATCTCCAGAATTATTAATAATTCCATTAAAGGGCTCTTAAGCATCTGAAGTTTGACTTTTAATAGATAAGCCAGCAAAGTATTGCATTGATGGTGTTCCCAGATCTGACAAGGAGGAAGCTTAAAGGTACTTAAGAGTATTATCATACCAATCTAGATGTTCACTAGCTATAAATATCAGATCTTTTAAAACAGGCATTCCGATCACCTGTCTCTATGGGCCAGTATTCCAAAATAAGTTCTGGTTTTTGATGGGTGTGGGTGGAAAGAGAACGATACAGATCACACCTCGCACAAGTTCAGCAATTCGACTGTTCAAGCTAGCAAATGCAGATGCCTGTAAAACCCTACATGTAAGGGTCAAACAAAAGAACCAGGAGGAGACTCAGTCGGAGCTCCGGATCCTCATTAGGCCTTAAGACTTTAGATATCTGCTGTAATCCGCCTCCAAACAAGGACCACCACCCTGGGGTGGCCGTCTCCCCACACCTCCCACGAGTGCTTTCGTGTGTTCATTACCATGCAAACTTGCGCCTCGGAGGCAGGCACCTGTCCGGCCTGAGAGGCCGGAACGGAACCCACCGTCCTTCTCCCTCTGCTGATGGAAGCTGGGGTCCCAGCCCCGCCGGCCCAAGGGATTTACCGGTGAGACCCCGCCTACCCCGCCAGCCGCGCCGCGGTGCTAGGCTCACTCGCCTGACGCTCCCCGCCGTTTCCCCCACCCGTCCGCACACTCACGGGCCATGCTGACCACCGGACAGAGCCTGGAAGAGAGCAACTCGGAAAGGCAACGGCGCCCTGCACGCTCAGCCGCCCTTACCACCCGTCGGTCTGCACGTCTGAGCCCGAGCGGGCCGTTTGCCGGGCGTCGCCTCACCTCGGTCGGTGGCCCCGCCCACGGAGAGCCGACAACAGCCGCCGGCGTGGCCCGTGAGCCACTGCGCGTCCGGCCGCCGCAGCTCCCGGGTAATTGGCCAGGCCCTAGGCCTGCTTCCAAGCAAGTTTGGTGGAGCTTAGGAAGCTCTGAGAGAGGGTCTGGCACTGGAGCTTGACCAGCCCATCCCCCTTTTGATAACAAACGACAATAAATAACTACAATTATCTAACTTTCGACAAAGAACGTTAGCTTTCATTCATCCTCTTGCAGAGGCTGGAAGGGAGGCAGGAGACTGAACAGACTGAGGGTTAACCCTACGAAAGGCAGTGCGGGCCCTTTACATATTTTATTTTTTTGTTCTAGCAGCACTCCTGTAAAGTAGGCTTCATTGTCCTCATTTTGCGGAAGAGACTAACCTAACAGGAACTGGTAGAAGTGAGAATCAAATTTAAGACGGACTCTAAAGCCTGTTCATTTTCCACTTTATCCCAGTGCCCTTGTCACTGTCAACAGTGTTTTATGAGTTTTTATTTACTGGGTTCATGCTTGGGATGTGTGGTGTGTGAAAGAAAGTGAGCAGAGATGCTGGGTACAGTTCAAGCTTTATTAAAGAAAGAATTCTGTTGGGCTGTGCTCAGAGTGGCAGGCAGCCCAGGGCTGCCCTGAAAATGGGGACAGCACCACGTGTGGGGGTGGTAGAGCTTATATACTGCACCAAGGGCTGGCTGATACCATCAACGAGGGTCATTATGCTAATGTGGATCCGGGTGGAGAACTGTGTCCTTGCAGAAACAAAAGAGGTTTCTGTTTAAGTCAGGGGGCTTCTCCTAAAGGGAAGGGGTGAGGGGAGGGGAGGAGGTGGGTGGTGCTGTTTTGTACTTGGACTTGTCTAAAGTGTCGCTGGTTATGTGGCAGATCTATTAGTGGGGAGAGGATGGCAGGGAGTGCAGTCATACCACAAATTCAGAATAGCCCAGAATAATCTGGACACCTATGTAAAAGCTGTGGACCATCTGCCATTGCTAGAAACAGACGTGTAAACATGCTCGTATGATTCATACTTTTCTTCACCTATTCCATTAATTGTTACAAACTGAGATGGTCTGGAGGTCCTAAAATTCCCTTATGTATTTAAAAGCTTTTATTTTGGTGTTGGCCGGTTAGCTCAGTTGGTTGGAGCATGGCGCTGATAACACCAAGATCCAAAGTTCCATCCTTGCACTGGCCAGCGGCCTATATATATTATATATATAGCTTTTGTTTTGGAAGATTTCAAATATATACAAGAGAAAACATACACAGAAAATACTATAATAGACCCCCAAGTACATATGACCAAACTTCAACAAGTTTTGCCTTATAAAATCGCCTATTTTAGAGAAGGTGGGAGAAAGTGGTGAAGACTAAGGGCTCTGTAGATGGAATGTCTGGGTCGAAAGCTCAGCTTTATCAATTAGTATCTGTGTCAGTCTGGGCACATTATTTGGGTGTTTTAAAGCTTCCTTACCTGTAAAATGGGGAGGTAATTGTACCTCTTTCATTAATTGAATTAATATATGTGAAGTACTAAGTGCCCAGCATAGAGTGGCCCTCAATATGTTAGCTATTATTGTCATTATTCTTTGTACTTTGGAGAGCCTTGCACACTTATCATTCTCTCCATGCCCAACACTCCTCAGTACTGCTTACAGGTCAGGGGTCTGTTTCCACTTAGTGAATCTCTTCTTGAGTAACTTGAGCAGGGGGAAGAAAATAGACTTTCTGGCCCAGCTCTTTACAGAAATAAAGAGATCATCTAAAGAGGAAGGGAAGAGAAGGAATTTGGGATTGGAAGGTAAGTGGTAAAGTTGTTTCCGTATGTGCTCTCAATTTATAATCTAATTGAGCTTTTTTCTTTTTTTTTTTTTTCCCTTTTTGTCTTTTTTACTGACCGGCAACGGGATCGCAACCCTTGGTGTTGCGCCCTTTTTTTTCCTTTTTGTCTTTTTTTACTGACTGGTAACGGGATCGTAACCCTCGGTGTCGCGCCCATACCGGGGACCGGCAACGGGCTCACAACCCTTGGTGTTGCGCCCGCACTGCACTCAGCCAGTGAACGGGAACCGGTCTCCACATGGGATCTGAACCCTCGGCGGGAGCGCCGCCGCACTCCCAAGCGGCGCACTCTCCAGTGCACCACCGGGCCGGACCATAATTGAGCTTTTTTCTTTACAGCTGAAAATAAAGTTTTTGAGTTGTAGGGGTACACATGATGTACACCACATACACAAGATATGTTGGGTATTCTGCCAGAGAAAACTGGAGATGTAAAAAATCACTGTGATGCCACTAAGTTTACTCCACAAACTTGGGTGTGTAATAAATGTCCTATAACTTTATTTAATTTAATTTTTTTTTTGATGGCTGGCCAGTATAAGGATTTGAACTCTTGACCTTGGTGTTATGACTTTATGTTTAATAATAAAACTAAATATGACTCTGATCCCATCTCTGTACTAGTGGGAAATTAAATCTTAGTCATTATTGACTTCTTTACTTACAAAGTTGTGGGAATGCCTTAGACTCTTAAGTGGAGAACAGAACATTTGGAGAAAGGCCTTGTGTCTTCAGTTTGTATCAGAATTTGCTATCCAAAGCTGTATGGTCCTGGCAGTGGCTCCAAGATTCCTGAGATATCTTCAGCAGGGCTTTCTTTTTTGAGTTCTTGAGTTTCTTCATATATAACTGAGGTCCTGTTCCTTCCACAAGAAGAGAGGGAGCCCATGGAACTCACAGACCTCCATTTTCTTCTCAGTCTTAAAAGAATCTCTTTTCTTTTCTCTGGTTTAGCCTTGCCTTCTTACTCTCTAAAGCACTGGCTCATTTTCTTCCCCCTTCTGGATGACCTATTTCTTCAAACAGTTCAGGATTGTATTCCTTTGACATTTTGTTACTAATACAGCAGTATGTTCTTGCAGAATTTTCTTTCCTTTCCAAGAAGGAAGTAAGGCTGAGATAGGAGGGGCTCAGTTTCCACCGGTTTGGGTTTCAGGACACACCTTTGGGTTTCAAGTCACTCCCTGAAGTGTCTGTCGCCTCATTTAGGCCCTCCCCTAGAGAACAGTTACTATTGCTTATTGGACCTATTTTTGGCACCAACATGTGAAAATTGAGAGCTCAGGGCGTTGATTTATGCAAATCAAGTGGCTGGGCATGCTCAGTAGGGAGGGGTTTAATAACCATTACAGCTGACCATGCTTAGTAGAGGGGAGTTTATCCTTTGTATGACCTTCCACTAGAGGTGTAGGAGAGCGCTGAATATTCTGTGTTTTTTACAGTGGTTATGTTGGAATTCAACCAATGAGTGGGCTCAGAAAAAGAGACTAACCGAGCATGTGCAAGACTATGTTACATAACTGGGAACCACCTCCTTATTTAAATATTCATTAGATAACATGAATATGTATTAGCAAAACTATAAAAGACAAGTTCTGGTGAGGTGGGGCTTCTCTCTCCCTCTCCTTCCTCCCCCTCCCTCCTCTGCTTCCCCCTCCCCCCCCCTCGTTTTGCAGTTCACCTGTGTATCAAACATGCCTTCAGCAGACTGCTGTTCACTCTGGTGCCAGTCTGCCCTTTGTAAAGTTTATTTCTTACTTTTGTATTAAACTTGCTGCAGTGAGTTGCTTGCTTTCCTGGAGCCCACCTGCATCTTGCTGGGAGAGGTGTGTATACTTTACTTTTGTGTTAAGCTTATCTCTAAGGGGCTGTTGCTCACTCTCTTGAGCCAGCCTACTCTTTGTAATAAACGTTAAGTGTGCATTTCTTACTTTTGTACTAAACTTGGTGCAGACCCTGCTCAGTCTGTGCAGCTAGGCTGCACTTTCTCTGTGAAGCCTATACTTCTTAACCATTACATTAACCTATTTTCACTTTGTACTGTGACTCTATCCTCGAATTATTTCCTGCGGTGGAGTCAAGAATCTGCTAGAGGATGAGGTGGGTTATATCAAGGTCTTTTTCTTTCCGTGAGTCTTAGGGGATTTGTATCACAGGTCCAAGCACTGGCCTATACCTACAGAGCCAACCTCATCTCTGGCTATTTTTCTCTCATCATAGAGGCTTTCCCTAACTACCTTAATGCCAGCCATCATATCACCCTTTAACTTTCTTTCATGACATTTAACATTCTTAAATTATCGTGTTCATTTGTTGTATTTTCTCCTCCCCAACGTAGAACATCTTGCTTATTGTTCTATTGCTACTTCTTGAAGCAGATTAAGAACAGTCACATTAATTTACAAAGTTTCAACTGTAATAATTTTTGGACTTGTAATAAATACATTCACATTAAAAGGACACGAGAGCATACAGTGAATAGTCTTCCTTGTCCGACGTGTTTCCCAGAAATCCAGTTCCCTTCCTAGGAGGTAACAATTACCAGTTTCTTCATACCAGAATTTCTTTTTTTTCTTTTAAAGATGACCGGTAAGGGGATCTCAACCCTTGGCTTGGTGTTGTCAGCACCACGCTCAGCCAGTGAGCGAACCGGCCATCCCTATATGGGATCCGAACCCGGGGCCTTGGTGTTATCAGCACCGCACTCTCCCGAGTGAGCCACAGGCCGGCCCTTCATACCAGAATTTCTAATCTATGTTCTACTCAATTTAGAATTTCTAACCCCTGGGGATACTCTGGTGAGCAGACACTGCTCTCATACTTTTTAACTGCTCTTCAGGACCCTTTAAAAGCAAAATAGGCCAGCGATTTTAATAGTTTCTGTAAAAGTTTGAGCTAAGGAGTCGGCTGCCACCTTTCCTTCTTTCTAGCAACTTCTAAGGATGTCTGGATAGAAAAAGAGCACATATTTTTGCATCTCAATTGACGGTTCACAGGTAATCCAGTTTCCGTAGTTTGGTAGTTGCCATGGCTCCTGGCGCCGTGCGTCTGACGTCATCCAGCGGCGCTAGCTGATGACGCAATCAGCCCCAGCGCCGTTTGAGGGCGGGGGCGCAGGGAGGAGGGAAAAATTTAGCTCAGTGTGGCAGGGACATGAGGAAGAGGCGGCGGAGGGAGAGAGGAGGAGGGGGCGGCGGTGGGGGCGTGAAACTGCCGTAGCTTTTCTCTGGGCTGGTGGTGTGGCTTTGTGCGGAGGGCGTAGTTCGTAACCCCCTCTGCAGGCACCGCTGGGGCTCGGGGCTGACAGCGGCCGTGGAGCCGCTTCCCCGGGCCCCCTGGCTCCGCCATGTTCCGTAGGGCACGCCTTAGCGTGAAGCCGAATGTCAGGCCTGGTTTAGGCGCCAGGGGCTCCTCCGCCCCCAATCCCCAGCGTGGACAAGAGTCTCCCAGGCCGCCGGAGCCTGCGGCAGACTCAGCTCCAAAGCCAGAGGAGCCCACGGATGTGCCCGCGGCGGATTTCAGGGGAGCGGAGCCTCAAGAAAAGGCTACTAGGAGCAGGTAAGCCCTTGCAGAGGGGAGTGTTTTCATCTGTCCCTCCTCTCCCGACCTGTCACCTGGTTGCTGGGCAAATGAACTTTACGAGTACTCCCTCGTTTGCAATAAGCCTTTCAGTTGAGGTCCGATGAAAGCACTCCAAACTGCAGTTTGTCCCTTTGACCGCAGTGTGTGGTCAGTGTGGATTTTGTCACGGCTTATGGATCCTCGTGGAGGAGATCGTGTCTTCATGTGGTGGTGGTGGGAATGTAAGTGTTAACAGTTCTGAAGTGAAGAATATCCACACGATTCGTTTGAGAATATGGATTACTGTAGTTTTTTTTTTTTTTTTTAAAGGTGACCGGTAAGGGGATTTTAACCCTTGACTTGGTGTTGTCAGCACCACGCTCAGCCAGTGAGCGAACCGGCCATCCCTATATGGGATCCGAACCCGTGGCCTTGGTGTTATCAGCACCACACTCTCCCGAGTGAGCCACGGGCCGTCCCTGGATTACTGTAGTTTTTATTCTGGAGTGCTTTGCAGGGAAAGTAGTTTAGTTTTTTAATGTTTAAAATATTTATTTTTAAAAGGAGAAGACCAGTATTGCTTTGGTTCTGCTGATTTATGTTAATGGGAAGGTCTGATTACTTGCTTCGGTTTGAGGGTGTGCCCTTTAAGTATGGTGATCATGTTTCCCGAACGGAGAAGCACGGCTTTAGCGTCATGTACCACGTTTGGGTTCAGGACTCTTCTACTTAATTTTACAATTTAAGTATAATTTTCCCAGGCAGAATTTATTCATCTGTGAAATGGGGATAGTAATGCCTGCTTTGGAGCGTTGTTATGGAGATTAGAGGTAATTCATATAAACTTGCACGGGACATGGTAGAATAGTTGCCCACAAGAAGTTTAAAAAAAAAAAAAAGGTGATGGAGCAAAGTAATTAAAGACATGTCAGGCTAAGATGGTCTCTGTTTTTATATTGTGTATTTGACGAAGCCAGCAGACAACCAAACCCGTTAAGTGGCAGTGAGATGGTACAAATTCTGTTTATACCGTGACAGAAAGGTGAAAAATCTGTTCTTTTTGGCATAACTGCTGCTTGGGATAGGGTGTTATTTTGATAGTTCAGAGATGGTTAGTAATTTCCAATGTCTTACATGAATCTGTTTCAAAATTTCTCTCTCAAATGTAGACACCAATACCACTCATTGTTAACTTAATGAAGTTTTAAGAGATTATGTTAAATATATAGAAGGACACCATGATTGATAATTTAATAAATTACTCAGAGATTAGTCTGAGACATTTAAGTTCGAGGATATTTGTTTTCTTAGAGTTGATGTTTAGTGAGTATACTTTTTCAGTCATGTGTTTTCTTTTTTTGTGTGTGGGTATTTGCTACTGTAAAAATCTGCAGGGTATGTAACTGTTCATATGTGTTCAAAATAATTGGGTGAAATGCATATAGTGCATGTATCACATTGTTAAAGGGCTGAGATGAGAATTTAAATTGGAGACTTCCTGGAAATGTTATCCTATAGGTCAAGATATTTTCCATTTTTACATAAAACTAATTGTAAAATATGAAAAAAGTAGACTTTTTAAATCTTGACCTATACCCCCTCTTTTCTTGGCTTTTAGGCCATTCCTGAAATATTTATACCTAATCTGTACCATAACTAAAATATAATTTGGAGTTACTGAATATAGTACTTTTTTTGAGTGAAGAGTTTGTTCTGATAGCTGTATAAGTAGAGTTATACCTGACAAAAGAAGAGCTATTTCTTCCTCAAACAGAATTTGGTTTGGCTAATGTAGCTAAATGTATATCTTAAATACTACAGAACAAATATTTTAGAGGTTTGAAGTTTTGCATATTTGATTTGACTAATTTCAGGTTAAGTACAGTAAAATGCCACTAATTTAGGAATTATAAACTTAATTTAAAAACACAAGCACAACTCTTGGCAATCCAGTAATTCAAATTAGGCTAATTAAGCCTTTATTGGTAACTTAGTTGTTTTTTGTTTGTTTTAAGAGAGCTAAATGAGTAATTATGTGCTCTAATGTGCCAGAGACTTGACATTTTAAAAGATTAAAGGTTTTAATTAGAATTTACATATTTTGGGCCGGCCCGGTGGCGCACTGGAGAGTGCGCTGCGTGGGAGTGCGGCGCTCCCGCCGAGGGTTCGGATCCTATGTGGAGACCGGTTCCCGCTCACTGGCTGAGCGCGGTGCGGGCGCAACACCGAAGGTTGTGATCCCGTTGCTGGTCCCCGGTACGGGCGCGACACCGAGGGTTGCGATCCCGTTACCGGTCAGTAAAAAAAAAAGACAAAAAGGAAAAAAAAAAAATTTACATATTTTGGGCTGGCTGATTAGCTCAGGTGGTTAGAGCACAGCCTTGTAACAACAAAGCCAAGGGTTCTGTTCCCTGTACCAGCCAGCTGCCAAAAACAAACAAAAAAAAGAACTGACATTTTTTAACTAATCAAAATTTTTATTGCAATCTCTCTCATAATTAACATAAATCTCAAGTCGTTAACTTTTTTAATGAGCCTTTAGTGTTTTGGATTTTCACTAGACTAGGTTTGAAAAGTAGCATGTTAAAAGGAGATTCATGGTACCTTTTTTTTCCCCTAATTTCAAAAGTGATGAAAAGACTGGTGGTGAGAACGATGTTGAAGAATCCAGTAAATCATCTCCTACTGTTTCACAGAGAAGAAAGCGAATATCAAGTAATTCTAGTCTGGTTAAACCTAGTGTCAGTGTCGCTTCAGAATCTCATCCTTTATCAGTAGTTAATCAAGAAGCTCCACAGCCAAACCCCATTCCAACAAAAGAGAAACAGCCATGCTCAGACAGATACCGAGTATATAAGGCCCAGAAACTGAGGGAAATGTTAAAAGAAGAATTGAGAAAAGAGAAGGTAAGTGAGAAAAATCAGAATTTTGATGTTGCCTGCCAAATTTCTGTTTTTATGTTAGTCATTATTTGAAAGAAAAATAAGACTCTTTAGCATTTTGATGGGGGAACAAAATCAAATCACATCTCTTATGGTAATAGAATATCCTCTTTTGTTATTAGAATGATTGAGAAGCACTATGGCTTAAATTATTTTTTCGACTGATAGTAATTTTTACATATTTTATTCGTTTATATTTTTCATTGTTTTTGGTGAGGGCCACAAATAAAAGTATTATACATGTAAACATAGATATACACAAGCGTATTTATAAAGTAAACCTTTAGTCATATTTTTGTTTGCATGTGTGGTTTTTTTTCCTTTTTTGGTGGCTGGTCGGTACAGAGATGAACCCTGGACCTTGGTGTTATCAGCACCACGCTCTAACCAACTGAGCGAACCACCTATCCCCCAGATATTGTTTTATATAAATGTCCAAGTGACATGTGGTATATTTATTTGAATTAAAACAAGAGTAGTTGAGCAAAATCAATTGGTAATGTTTTCTAAATTGACAATATGGAAAATTACAAATGCGAAAAGTTTATGGTATCCGTAAAGTAGAGTCTGTGTTCTTTTTAATCTTGAAGATTGATTTTTTTCTACAAGGGTAGTGTAACAGTAGTGAAGCATGCCAGTTCTGGAGTTAGATACTTAAGGTTGGAATCTTAGCTTCATCCCTTAGTAGTTATATGATCTTGGGCAATTTAATTAATCTTTCTAAGTCTGTTTCCTCATCTGTAGATAAGACCAGTAATAGTGTCTACCTCATTGGATGGTTGCAAAGATTCAATGAGTTAATACATGTAAAAGACATTTAAACTAGCGACTAGTAAGTGCCCACAAATGTTAGGTCTTATTAATAATAGAATGCCTCTTATTTATTTATTTTTTATTTTAATTAAGAGGAAGGTGTTTTGCTTGGTGCCTTATATCTGTTCTCATTTAATTCAGCTATGTGAAGTAGATATCACTGTTTTACACAGGAGGAAACAAGCTCAGATAATTTGCTTTGTGTCAAACATAAGCTGAGGATATGGGATTTGAATCCATATCCTCTAAAAACTAAGCCTCTAAAAACCTAAGCCTCTAAAGATGTTCTGTGTTTTATAGAATGTGCTTAATTAGATTTATTTTTGGGAATTAAACACTTGCTTCAAGAATTTTATAAAGAATTTTATGAAATACCCAAAATTCCAATTCAATACAGGACAAGCAAAAGCTATGTAATTATAAATTCTCAGTAAGCTAATATAGTTAGAAGGTACCAATAAGCATGATTTTATACATTAAGCTTTTATACAGTCGCAGTCACTGTAGTTTTTTTGTCCTTTTTGTGACCGGTAAGGGGATCGCAACCTGTGGCTTGGTGTTGCCCACACTGCGCTCAGCCAGTGAGCGCACCGGCCATCCCTATATAGGATCCGAATCCGCGGCGGGAGCGTCGCTGCGTTCCCAGCGCAGCACTCTCCCAAGTGCGCCACAGGCTCGGCCCTCACTTTAGTTTTTTTGTTTGCTTGGTTTTTGGTGGCTGGCCATTAGATTGAATTGAACCCTGGACTTTCTTGTTATCAGCACAGCACTCTAGCCAACTGAACTAACCGGCCAGCTCCACTTTAATTTTTTATTTTTTAAATTTATTTTTATTTATTATTATTATTATTATTTGTTGTTGTTTTTGTTTTTCTGACCGGTAAGGGGATTGCAACCCTCGGCACAGTGTGGTCCGCACCATGCTCAGCCAGTGAGTGCATTGGCCATCCCTATGTAGGATCCGAACCCACGGCTTCAGTGCTACTAGCGCCGCACTCTCCCGAGTGCGCCACGGGGCTGGCCCTTTAATTTTTAAAAACTAAGAACTATTAAGGGTAATGTAGTACAACTTTTTAACATTTAGTTTATAAAATTTTTCCTAAAATTAGGCATAATTGGGGTAGGAATAATATTAAAGCACTTGCAGTGAATACAACAATATACTGTATATTTGAATATAGTACATCTGAAATTCTTCTATATTTATAAAATAAAAGTAGATGTTTGTCTGTTTATGTATCTAGAAACAATGGAAAAACAAATATACCATAAATGAAAGTCAGAGGCCACCAGATCGTTCAAAAATGACTATGAGAGACTTCATATATTACCTGCCAGATAACAATCCAATGACGTAAGTAAAACTTATTTTTGTCTTACTTCTTTGGGTATATAGTGATTTAAGTATTACTATATTTAGAATACAGTTTCATGTTTTCCAGAAGCATGTTGACAAAATTTGTAGCACATATGATGTCCTTTTAGAGAGAATCTTATAACAAAAATTAGTGGTATTTCAAGTAACTGCTTTCTGGGGATGGTAAATGATGCCCTTTATATCTGAGATTAAAAATTTTTTTCTTTGTTATATTAATTACCAGGATGTAATAAAGCCAATTAAGCAACTTTTTTGTAATCATGATTGCAATTTTTATTTCTTATATTTGAGGGTACTTCAAGAAGTTCATGGAAATATGGCATTAAAAGATAATATGAGGGCCGGCCCAGTGGCGCACTCAGTAGAGTGTGGAGCTTGGGAGCTCGGTGGCGCTCCTGCTGAGGGTTTGGATCCCATATAGAGACCGGTCCGCTCACTGGTTGAGCGCGGTGCGGGCGCGACACCGAGGGTTGCGATCCCGTTACCGGTCACGAAAAAAGAAAAAAAAGATAATATGAATCTTTCCATGAGCTTTTTTTTGTTTGTTTGCCCGTTACCGGTCACGAAAAAAGAAAAAAAAGATAATATGAATCTTTCCATGAGCTTTTTTTGTTTGTTTGTTTTTTCCTTTTTTTTTGTCTTTTTCCGTGTCCGGCAACGGATTGCAACCCTCAGTGTCGCACCCGTACCGGACCGGGACCAGCAACGGGACCGCAACCCTCGGTGTCGCGCCCGCACCTCGCTCAGCCAGTGAGCGGGAACCAGTCTGTATGTGGGATCCGAACCCTCGGCAGGAGCGCCGCCGTGCTCCCAAGCAGCGCACTGTAGCAGTGCGCCACCGGGCCGGCCCCTCCATGAGCTTTTTGAAGAGCCCTTGTACTATAACCCAATCTAAAGGAGTGATCTAATTTTTGCACCCTACCTCTTAATTAAATATAGTGGGAGTTTGATTAACAAATCCTCCAAGAACAAAGCTTCTTTAATCACAGTTAGCTGGGGGTTGGGGAGGGGCAGAGGGTTTAAAATAAATCTCATTTTTGTGTTGTTGATGGTTTAGGAGGTGGAGGTAGGAGTAGTGGCATATTCTTCAGTATAGGCCTTTTTCAGTTTCATGAGGTATTTGGCCCTGTTGAAGAAAGGGCCAGAAAACTAGGTTTCGAGTAGTTTGACATTTAGGAGTTGGAGACAAGCCATGTAGGTTGCTTCATGCCTCAGGACTGGGAACCTCCCTTCATTGAGGAATTAGAAGGGTAAGAGCATTCGCTATTTAGGGCCCAACAAACTTTTTGTACTTAATGACAAGTTTTTGACTGAAAAATTGATTGTTGGAGTGCACCATTATTAATGAAGTGCTATGGTATATTATTTTTAAAAACATGGAAATTAATTTCTTTCTTGCCTACAGATAGAATCGCAAGATGTAAATTAGTAATTTATTAAAAAGTGTTCTGTTATTTGTGTTTAATAGTTCTTCTATGGAACAAGAAAAGAAAACTGATAAATCATTGACTCCAGTCCAGACAAGAGAGTAAGCACCTCATCTTATTCTTTTTTTAATATATTCTATTTTGGTTATATTTTTAAAAAATGAAATCATGTGATCCTTCCTATTATAATCAAATTATATTTCATAGCATTTTTTAAATAGCTTCATTTAAAAAGAATAAAAGTTACTGCCCTATTTAAATCAATCATGAAAGCCTCACACTGTTATATATATGTGACCAGTATTATGATTTTAAATTAAAGCTTTTAGAATTAAATGGTTTTTATTTGTTATGTTTTAGAATAATAATATATTCATTTGGTATGAAATTCAGAAAGAACAAAAGTGAATACTGAGAAAAGTCTTCCAACTCTGTTTTTCTGCCATCTTTTCCCCTCCCTGGAAGCAACAAGTGTTACCAAGTTTTAATGTATCATTCCAGTTCTAGTTTATGCATATCCAAGCAAGTGTATATATTTTTTTCTTTTTCCTTTTCTTTCTTTTTTATTTTACATAAATGTTTATATGCCATGGTTAGAACATGGTACTGATAACACCAAGGTCAAGGGTTGGATCCTTATACTGGCCAGCTGCCCGCCCCCCCCCCCCAAAAAAATGAACATGCTGTGTATACTGTTCTGCAACAGGTCCATTATTATTGATTGATTGATTGATTGATTGGTAGCTGGCTGGTACAGGGATCAAAACCCTTGACCTTGGTGTTACAATACTGTGCTCTAACCAACTGAGCTAACTGACCAGGCCATCTGGGTTTTTTTTTTTTTAATTTTTAAATTTTTTTTAATTAATTTTTTTTTTTACATTTTATGATGTTGCAGAGCAGTTGGGAGGGAGGGGGAGAGAGGAAAGGAGAAGGAAATGAGATGGAAGAAGGACGAAGGAAGGGCAGGATAGAGGCCTGTGGCACCCCCCTCATTCCCATAGGGGAGACCAGGGGGCTTCTAGTGGTGGCTTGGTCATTGCTGGGATGGGTGCAGATGTCATGGGGGTGTGGCAAAAGCCCTCGTCCCTCACCACCCCAGCATGGGAACCTGGGGCCCTTCTTGCTGCAGCTCGGTGGTTGTCTCTGGGCTGGTTGCGTGTATCGGGGGGCATGGTTGAGGCTTTCTGGCTTGGTAGCCCAGGGGACTTCTGGTCTTTCTAGGTGTTATAGGTGTTCTTTGGTGAAATGAGACCTTTACTAGTTAATAACAAACTTTGTCTCTGGTTGTGGGTTCTTTGTTTTTTCTTTCAGTTCTGTGTTGGGTTATTCACTGTTCCCACCACTTAAATTCTGTGCTGGAACTAATTTGTTATCCTTTGCTTACTTCTAAAATGGGGGAACTGCCTGTGGGGACCAGTACTTGAGCTCTGTGGTTGAGCTAAATTGCTGCTTTGCTGCTGATTCCCTAGGGAAGGCTTTTTGTGCAGCTCAGGTTTTAATGGTTGGTTTTGTAGGTACTTCCAGGTCTAGAGAGATCTGGTGTATCTGGGTTGTGTAGAAACTCTTGTCTGGGCCTGAGTCTTTTCAACAAACTGTACCCCATGCAATTCTATATTCCTGACCAGTCTCCTCTGAGTGGTCCTGCACTGATTGGGGGCAGATCAGCTGTCCTTACTGTGCCCCCAGTGTTTCCCTGGTGGGCCTGTCTCCTGCACTCCTGGTGTTGCAAACACTTCCCATGGTGCAGGCCATGCTCTGGTCCCTTGCAATGACTCACCAGCCTCTTCGCTCCTGTATGGGTCCACAGGAACCCTATTAGTGGTCTTGCTGGTGTGGGGGCCACCAAAGCCCTCTGCTCCCCTGCCGCATGCAAACATCTCCATCTGAAGGGCACAGCTGCAGCCTTTGCCAGCTCCAGCTCTGTGTGCTCAGCAGCTCCAACCTGGAAGTGGCTGGGTCTTGAAATGGTCAGAGCAGCTTTTTCTTTCTCTCCTTGTGGCTACTCCCACCTTCATGCACTCTGTAGGTCTCTCCTTGTCTTCCCCTGAGCACTAACGGTTCTAGTTTGGCTGTTGTTGCTTTTTTATAGTTGTAAATTGGTTGATTTGTCGGAGAGAGTGATGCTGGGGGACCATCTATTCCTCCATCTTGACCAGAAGTCCAGGCCATCTAGTTTTGATGTCAATTAGATATAGTCTTCTTTTTTCTGTTCGTGTGTGTGTGTGTGTGTGTGTGTGTGTGTGTGTGTGTGTGTGTGTGTGTGTGTTGGATATAGTTTTTTTGCAGGCTCCCTTTTGCTTTCCACATTCATAACTGTCATATGTTAGCTTATTCACAAGAAGTCCCACCAAGAGACCTTTTAGGAAGTTGTTACAGCCTTTTACTTCAAAGTGGGGGATTGTGGAAAATTAGCAGAAACATTGGGAGTTTTCTAATTGTTGCTTCAAAAATAGTGTCAAAATAGTGATAATTACTGTTTTGCCTATGGTCCACATTGTTTTAAAGCAGAACTCTGAAGCTTTAAAAATAGGTTATGTTTTACAGGTTATGTTTGTTTCAATAAAACCTTAAGGAGGCAGTGTAGTAGAATAGAAAGTGTATAGGATTTGCAGTTGTTATTTGAAGAAACTGTGTTTACTTCTTGCTGTACCCTTACTGTTGTATAATCTAGAGCAAAAGTTATGTCTTCTCTAAGGCTCAAATGGGTATAAAAGTAGTAACCCTGAAGGGTTGTTCTGAAGTTAATAAAAATGATCTGGAAACTAATGCTATATAGTTTAAAGATTATTGTTGATTCTGTGGTAACTGGATTGTTTACTTTGATAATATGTTGAGATAAAATAGATGAGCATTTATTTCTCTTTATTTTATTTTTATATTTATTTTTTGGCGGCTGGGCTGGTATGGGGATCTGAACCCTTGACCTTGGTGTTACAAGGCTGTGCTCTAACTAGCTGAGCTAACCAGCCAGCCTTTTCTTTATTTTAAAAGAGAGTAAAAGCTTCTCACTAGTCCTAAAACCATGTCTTTAACAACACATAATATTTTCAATAAAGGTGCAGGGAAAGTTGGAAATAACTAAAAGGTTGAATTTATAATAATTTATTTTAAAGTTTATGCTATTCAGGAAACACTTCTCATGGCTATATGAATTAAACTATCTTTATATTTGATAGGCAAGAAGGTAAGAGTACTCCTGATGCTGAAGATAATGAAGAAATGGAAGAGACAGATGATGGGCCATTGCTAGTTCCTCGAGTAAAAGTGGCAGAAGATGGTTCTATTATTTTGGATGAAGAAAGGTAAATAAAACAGAGAGAGACTGTAGTTTCATGAGAACAAATGTGCTTTGTCTAATAAGAGAGATCCTTTTCCTGTATCTATTTGTCAGGTAGACCCTGATGCTTATATTTGCGTAACGAATGTTGTAAATACAGGCATACTTTGGAGATATTGCAGGTTTGGTTCCAGACCACCAAAACAAAGTGACTGTTGCAATAAAGTGAGTCACATTAGTTTTTTTGGTTTCCCAGTGCATATAAAAGTTATGTTTATACTATTCTGTAGTCTATTAAGTGCAGTAGCAGTATGTCTAAAAAAACAATGTACATACCTTAATTAAAAAATACTTTATTACAAAAAAATGCTGATAATCTGAACCTTCAGTATGTTGTAATCTCTTTATTGGTGGAGGGTTTTTTGTTTTGTTTTGGTTTTTTGCGACTGGCTGGTATGGGGATCTGAACCCTTGACCTTGGCGTTACAACACCATGTTCTAACCAGCTGAGCTAACCTATCAGCCCCAAGCTCCACTTCTAATTTTAGTTCCCTTGCTATTCCCATTTTATCTGCAATTACTGCCTCCACTGAAGTCTTGAACCCATCAAAGTCTTCCATGGGTACTGGAATCAACTTCTTCCAAACTCCTCTTAATGTTGGTATTTTGGCCTTCTCCTATGAATCATGATTGTTCTTTTTTGGGGGGGTTGGTGGGAGCAGAGCATTGAGAATCATGAATGTTCTTAATGGCTCTAGAATGGTGAATCCTTTCCAGAAGGTTTTCAGTTGATTTTGTCCAGGTCTATCAGAGGAATCACTGTCTTTGGTAGCTATAGCCTTACAAAATGTATTTCTTAAATAATAAGTCTTGAAAGTCAATGTTACTCCTTGATCCATGCCTGCAGAATGGATGTGGTGTTAGCAAGCATGAAAACAGCATTCATCTCCTTGTATATCTCTAACAGAGCTCTTGGGAGACCATGCACAATTGCCGTGAGCAGTAATATTTTGAAAGGAATCTTTTTTTTTTTTTTTTTTTTTTTTTTTTTTTTTTTTTTCCTCTTTTTCCGTGTCCGGCAACGGATCGCAACCCTCAGTGTTGCCCCCGTACCGGACCGGGGACCAGCAATGGGATTGCAACCCTCGGCGCTGCTCCCGCGCCTCGCTCAGCCAGTGAGCGGGAACCGGTCTGTATGTGGGATCCGAACCCTCGGGTGGGAGCGCCGCCGCGCTTCCCAAGCGGCGCACTACCCAGTGCGCCAACGGGCCGGCCCAAAAGGAATCTTTTTTTTTTTTTTTTTTCCTGAACTGTAGCTCTCAACAGCGGGCTTGAAATATTCAGAAAACCATGCTATAAGCAGATGTGTTGTCATTCCAGCCTTTGACCTCTGAGCACAGGCATTTGTAGAACACAGGAAGAATAGATTTAGCCTAATTCGTAAGGGTCCTAGGATTTTCATAATGATAAATGAGCATCGACTTCAACTTAAAGTTCAACTTAAAGCTGCATTAGCCCCTAACAAGAGAGTCAGCCTGTCCTTTGAAGCTTTGAGAGGTGTTGACTTCTCTCTGTTATGAAAGTCCTAGATGGCATCTTCTTCCAGTAGATGGCTGTTTCATCTACATTGAAAAAATCCGTTGTTTAGTTTAGCCACCTTCTTCAGTGATCTTAGCTAGATCTTCTGGATAACTTGCTACAGCTTCTACATCAGCAGTAGCTGCTTCACCTTGCACTTTTATGTTATGGAGGTGACTTTTTTCTTTAAACCTCATGAACCAACCTTTGCTAGCTTCAAACTTTTCTTCTGCAGCTTCCTCACCTCTCGACCTTCATAGAATTGAAGAGAGGGCCTTGGTCTGGATTAGGCTTAAGGGAATGTTGTGGCTGGTTTGATCTTTTTTCCAGACCACTGAAACTTTCTCCCCATCAGCAGTAAAGCTGTTTTGCTTTCTTATCATTCATGCGTTCTTTGGAGTAGCATTTTTAATTGCCTTCAAGAACTTTTCCGTTGCTTTTGCAACTTAGCTAGCTCTTTGACACAAGAGTTCTGGCTTTTGGCCTATCTCGGCTTTCAAAATGCCTTCCTCACTAAGCTTAGTCATTTCTAGCTTTGCTTTAAAGTGAGAGATTTGTAACTCTTCCTTTCATTTCAACACGTAGAGGCCACTGTAGGGTTATTAATTGCCCCAGTTTCAATGTTGTTGTGTCTCGGCATCGGGAAGCCTGTGGAGAGGAAGAGACTGGGAGCAGCTGGATGGTGGAGCAGGAAGAACACACACATTTGTTGATTAAGTTCACCATCTTATTATGGGTATGGTTTGTGGTACCCCAAAACAGTTATAATAGTAGTGTCAAAGGTCACTGACACAGATTACCATAACAATATAATAATGAAAAAGTCTGAAATATTGCAAGAATTACCAAAATGTGACATAGAGACACAAAGTGAGCACATGCTGCTAGAAAAATGGCACAGATAGACTTGCTTGATGGAGGGTTGTCACACACCTTCAATTTGTAAAGTATGCAATATTTGTGCGATAAAGTGAAGCACAATAAAATGAGGTATGCCTGGAGAAAAGTGGCTTAGATAATTTGATAGTTTTTAGCAATTTTTATAATGCTGTGTTTTGTATGAGAAGATGGTACTGTTTTCCTATCATACATTAACCTAATGTCGTTGTTTTACTAACTTTACTGGTGATGGAGTCAAGCTACCAAACTAACCACATGCTGTCCTCTACTGAGGATAAATTTCTAAGATTGACTCAGTCTTGAAGTCAGTATTCAGGTTTTCATATTATCAACTAACATTATATTCTGTTGTGTGGTGATAACTTATGGATATGTAATGAAACATATGTTTAATGTATTTTATGATTTTTGTTATGGTGTGGTTTAATTCACTTTCTAGTTTAATTTCTCAGTTATAACATTAAAGTTCTCCCATTTGGTATTGTGGAATTTTTCTTTCTAAAGTGTTTTTTTTTTTTTTTTCCTTTTTGTCTTTTTTCGTGACCGGCAACGGATCGCAACCCTCAGTGTCGCGCCCGGACCGGACCGGACCGGCAACGGGATCGCAACCCTAGGCTCTGCCCCCGTCTGTATGTGGGATCCGAACCCTCGGCGGGAGCGCCGCCGCGCTCCCAAGCGGCGCACTGTAGCAGTGCGCCACTGGGCCGGCCCTAAAGTGTATTTTTTAATAAAGATAAATTAGTAAATGCAAAAGGAATAGAAAGTCTTTTGACAGCTTAATTAGTAAAAAATAATTTTATAGCATTTAAATTCCATGATAATTAAATATTAATGTAATACTGCTAACAATAGTTTTGCATGCTGTTTTCCATTAGTTTGGGATGATTATTTTACTAGTCATTAAATAGCTAAAAGCATATTTATAACTGCTTTGTCTGCAGGAATGTAAAATATAAAATGTTTATTTCTTAATATCCCTCTTGGGTCTAGCACAAGGATATTTATTGAATATAGAGGTTATGCAGAAGCAATAAAACAAATATGTTTTTAGGTGGCCCAAAAATATTTTGTAAATTTTATGGATTTTGAAAATAAGTTGTCATTTATTTCTAACCCCTGAGAATCACATTTTAAGTGGAAATTAGCAGATACTTGGAAAATACACATTTCATATATATTTTGATACTTTTGATATGACTGCCATGGTAAATTTCAAAATGTAACTACTTAAATCTCATTTACTGTTTGTTTCCTTACTCATTTTTAATGTGGATTTATTTGAAAATGTGTTTCTTTCAGTTTGACTGTAGAAGTGTTAAGGACAAGAGGCCCCTGTGTTGTTGAGGAAAATGACCCCATATTTGAGCGTGGTTCTACAACTACATATTCCAGCTTTAGGAAAAACTATTACTCTAAACCATGGTCAAATAAAGGTAACTAATTTTCATTTAAAATTGTGTAAGTTATTTATTTGAAATGAGCCATTTCATGTTTCTGAATTAAATCAGGTTTTTCATAAGTAAATAAAATGCACACTATCATGTTGTTTTCTTTCCAGCTAATTTTATTGGCACCTCCTTACTGGCCCCACTGTGGAACTGTATCACTGATTTCATTTAAAAAAAAATTTTTTTTTTTTGGTGGCTGGTCAGTATGGAGATATGATCTTAAGAATCTTTTTAAGAATTTTATGTCGTTTTGGCTGGAATCTTCCTTTCTGTCAAATCCCTATGCAACAAATAACATTTAAATGAAAATTAAACAATATTTCTAAAGCTCGTAATGTTCTGCCTTTGTTAATATTTTATAATAAAGTTTCTTTAGGTAAAGATTATACTGTTAAAAAACATCCACAATGCCTATTACATGCTGGTGCTTATTAATTACTTTTTGTTATAAAAACAGTACAGGTTGTTTTGGGGAAAAATTCAAACATGACAGAAGAATATAGAGTGAAAAAAACGATTCGGTACTTCCCTTCTCCACTTTCCTTAATCCTGTTCTCCTGAGGTAATTTCTTTTTCTTTTGGCAGCTAGCTGGTGGGGGAATATGAACCCTTGACCTTGGTGTTATAAAATTGCACTCTAATGAACTGAGCTAACCAGCCAGTCTTCTTGTGTATTTTTCTAGCTACTCTCTTTATATAGCATTTTTTTTTTTTATTTGCAACTGGCTTGTGAGGGGATCCAAACCCTGGACCTTGGTGTTATAACAATTTAGCACATCTTAGTTGCTTACATAGTGTAACCTTATGCTAGCTATGACTGGCAGTTTTTTTCAGAGCACTTTGATTGAGACCAGGTAGAATGTCTTTTTTAAAAATTGTAGCTGCTGGCTGGTTTGCTCAGTTGATTAGAGTGCAGCCTTATAACACTGATGTCATGCGTTCAGATTCCCATACTGGCTAGCCACCAAAAAAAAGAAAAAAAAATTTTAGTTGATTTGGTATGAACATGCAAATTCCTTTTACTATGGTTTTTTTAAAAAGTTTATGTATTTAGATATTCCATGTGGTTCTTTCCAATAAAATTAAGTACTGTCACATTTATTTTTAACTCAGAATATATACTTATGTAAGATTTCTTTCTTAAATATTGAGAAAATTAATTTTCAGTCATTCTGTCTTTTATTTTTACAGAAACAGATATGTTTTTTTTAGCCATCAGCATGGTAGGAACTGACTTTTCAATGATTGGACAACTTTTTCCTCACAGAGCAAGGATAGAAATTAAGGTAAAGTAAACCTGTCATGTCTGTTGATTGCAGAGTGTCCAAAAATTACTATTATTATCATATTTATACCTTTGGTTTTTTGTTTTTTTTTGTCTTTTGTCTTTTTCCGTGTCCGGCAACGGATCGCAACCCTCAGTGTCGCCCCCGCACCGGACCGGGGACCGGCAACGGGATCGCAACCCTCGGTGCCGCTCCCGCGCCTCGCTCAGCCAGTGAGCGGGAACCGGTCCGTTTGTGGGATCCGAACCCTCGGGCGGGAGTGCCGCCGCGCTTCCCAAGCGGCGCACTTATCCAGTGCGCCACCGGGCCGGCCCCATATTTATACCTTTGGTTTAAATCTCAGTCTTTTTTCACTGTTTTTTTTTTTGTTGTTGTTGTTACATTTTATCCTCTTTATTGCTCCTTATCGTCAGTATCATATTTTATTATTTATATTTTGCCCACTTTTTTTTTTTAAATTGAAGCGTAATTGGTCATACATATTTTGGGAGTGTAGTGTTGACTATCATTATTTGTGTACAATATGTGATGATCAGATCAATATTATTAGCGTATTCATTATCACAAATTGTAATCATTCTTTGTGTCCTTTACCCAGTTTCTCCCTAACCTCCACTTTCCTGCCCTCTTTCCCACCTCTACTAACCATAGGTCTTTTCTCTCCTGAAAGTTCAACATATTATTGTGGTTGATCGGTCTTTCCTTCCTCCCTCCCAGCTCGTTCATGTTGCTTCGAATGGCAGAATTTCATTCTTTTTTATGGTTGAGTAGTTTCCATTGTGCATATATACCACATTTTCCTTATCCAGTCATCCATTGATGGACATTTAGTTGGTTCCATACCTGGCTATTGTAAATAGAGCTGTGATGAACATGGGAATGCACGCATCCCTTTGACATCATAATTTTCATTTCTTTGGGTATATACCCAGAACTCAGATTGCTGGATTGTATGGTAGTTCTAACTGTGGTTGTTTGAGAAGCCTCCAAATTGTTTTCCATGATGGCTGTACTATTTTACAGTCCCACCAACAGTGTAGAAGAGTTCCCCTTTCTCCACATCCTCGCCAGCATTTGTTATTCTCAGTTTTTTTAATAGAGGCTAGTCTAAGTGGGGTGAGAATATATTTTGCCCACTTCTAAAATGGATTTGAGGGAGTACAAATAAAGACACTGAAACTAAGATAAAAGAAGAGTTAGGTAAGGAAGACAAGATAAATGTACCAGAATACTTAGATTAAGGGTAGCTTTTTGAATACAGTTTGTTTCTGAATTTTCTAGGAAGGCATAAAAAAGAATGCTGAATTACATAGTTGTCATTGAACTAACTGCTTCCTAGGCCACCTTAACCCTGGGGACAATCAGTGGCACAATTAACTACAGAAGTGATGTCAGTTACAGCTGTAGTATGTCTGAAGGAACAAGCTTTCTTTGTTTTATAGTTTCTTTGCTGAGAAACTGTATAAGTTTCCGGGGTTGGAGTGCGTTTGAGTGCTACAACACTGTGTTGCTGTAATGCATTCCCAGTTCATAGTGAGATCTTTACCCAACCATGGACTTGTCCCTTCATTTTCCACCACCATCATGTTCATTACATCAGTAAAAGGAAACATTAGGAAAGATAGATTTTTTTTCCTCCTAGAACTAGATTGGGCATGGATTGCCTGGGGACATTATGTCAGGGGCATATTATAGTACAAAGGAATAGTTTTACCCATCATATTTCTTCAAAAGATGAAGAACTGTTTATATTCTTTATGTTAATTTTTTAATGTTAATCTTCGATAAAAGGAGAATAAAATGTTAAAGTTCTGTGAAGGTTAGAAATTGCTTGTCTAGGTTGGAGCTCTCTGATGATCTGAGTAATTAATGATAATTTTGTCACTAGACTTTTTCCCTTAAAAATCATTGAGATTCTTCCCCTAAAATTTTAGTGTGGTTTCAGCAGGTTTTTGGGCAGAGTAAAGAAAGGTGAAAATGGACTTTAAGCCTAGTGAATTAAATTACACTGATTTTCAAATGTTGAACTAACCTATTATTCCTGGGATAAACTCCATTTGTTCATTCTGTATTCTTTTTATATATTGCTGAATTTTGTTACATTTTCTTGATGTTTTTGCACTTTTGTTCATGAGGGATATTGGTTTGTAATTTTCTTTTAATGTCCTTGTTCTGTTTTGGTATGAGGATTATGCTGGTCACAGAAAATGAGTTGATAAGTGTTCCCTCTTCTATTTTCTGTAAGAATTTAAGATTAGTACTATTTCTCCTTTAATGTTTGATAAAATTCACCAGTGAAACCATCTGGTCCTGTAGTTTTCTTTGGAGAAAGTGTTTAGATTATATAGTCACTTTCTTTAATGCATATAGGAGCATTCAGATTTTCTCTCTCTCTCTTTTTTTTGGGCAGCTGGCCAGTATGGGGATCCAAACCCTTCGTCTTGGTGTTTTAACACCGTGCTCTACCCAACTGAGCTAATTGGCCAGCCCCAAGATTTTCAATTTTTTCTTGTGTTGTTGCTAAGTTGTCATATTTATAGGCATAAGATTTTCCTACTATTCCATTATCATTTTAATATTTCTGAGATCCATAGTGATATCCTCTTTGATTGATAATTTGCATTTTTTTTTCTCTTTTTCTTATCTGTCTTGCTAAGGGTTAATTAACTTTTAAAAATCTTTTTAATGAACCAACATTTGTTAATGTCAATATTATTTATTAATTTTAATTTGGGGGGTTGGGGGGCTGGTTGGTATTGGGATCCAAACCCTTGACCTTGGTGTTACAACACCTTGCTCTAATCAGCTGAGCTAGCTGGCCAGTCCCCCTGTTAATGTCAATGTTAAGTTTTCAATTGTTTGTTTTCATTGTTTTTTTTTTTTTTTAAACTGGGTAATTTGTAAAGAAACAATATTTATTGCTTACAGTTTCAGAGGCTGGGAAGTCCAAAGTCCAAGGAACACATCTGGTGACAGCCTTGTTGGTGGGTAGTGACTCTTCACAGTAAAGCAGGGTGCCATTTGGTGGATGACAGAAGCAGAGAGAGCTAACTCCTTACTCCTTTTCCTTTTAAAGCCCTCGGAACCATGCCCATGACCACCATTAAACCATCAATTTATAAATCCATTTACTATGGCATGTTCCTCAGAATCTAATCACCTCTTCAAGGCCCCACCTTTCAATTATAATAATAGGATTTCTTACCTTCTTAACACTGTCACAGTGGGGACCAGGCCTCAATGAGTTTGGGGGGTCATTCAATCTACAGTACTCCAGCACTTCCTCCCTTCAACTTACCTTGTATTTAATCTTCTCTACTTTTTGTAGCTCAAGATAAAACTTAGGGCATTGATTTTAAGGCTTTCTTTTCTAAAATAAATATTTAAAGCTATACATTTACTTCCCTGTATTGCTTTAATTGCATTCCACAAATTTTTTTTTTTTTTTAAGTTGACCGGTAAGGGGATCTCAACCCTTGGCTTGGTGTTGTCAGCACCACGTCCAGCCAGTGAGCCAACTGGCCATCCCTGTATAGGATCTGAACCCGTGGCCTTGGTGTTATCAGCACCGCACTCTCCTGAGTGAGCCATGGGCCGGCCCTTGCATTCCACAGATTTTGATATGTTGTTCCATTATCGTTCAGTTAAAAATATTTTTAGTTTCCCTTTTGATTTCTTTTGTGACTAATCATTTTTTTGTTGTTGTTTGTTTTTTTGGCAGCTGTCAAGTAACAGGGATCAGACCCTGGACCTTGGTGTTATTAACCAACTGAGCTAAATAGCCAGCACCCCCTTTTTTTCTCGTCACTTATTTAGAAGTGTGTTTAGAAGTGAAAAATTTCCAAATATTTGTGATATGTCTTTATCTTATTATTAATGTTTTCTAACTTAATTCCTTTATGAATATCAGTATAATCTGTAAGATTTCAATATTTTGAAATCTATTGAGATTTATTTTAAAATTTAGCATACTCTCATCTTGGTGAATGTTCCTGGTGTATTTGAAATGAAGAAATATTCTGTATTTGTCTAGTTTTGTCAGCTACTTAGAGGAATAAAAATCTCCAACTAAGATTATGGATTTCTCTTTAGATCTATCATTTTTTGCTTTATGTGTAATGGAGCTCTTTTGTTGGATGCATTCACATTTAACATGATATTGAATTGATCCTTTTATCATTAAGAAATCTTTCTTTTTATGTCTGCTGATACTCCTTGTCTTCCTTGAAGCCTGCTTTTTCAGATATTGATTTATCAGTACGAGATTTACCCTGCTTACAGTTTCTATGGTTTTTTTTAATCCTTTTACTTTACCCTATCTGTGTCTTTATATTTTACGTATGTCTTTTATTGACTACATATAGTTGGGTCATACTTTTCTTTTCTTTTTTTTTTTTTTTTTTTTTTTTTTTTTTTTT